CCTGTGAAGGATCCCTGTAGCCGTGTCATTGTTATAGTACTGCTGTTAAGAAGGCCACGGTACTGTAACAATTCCAATGGACATGGAAAAGAATCAAACATAACCTCAACAAGCCCCTGTAGTACAACTGAAGAAAATAATTCAGAAGCGGTTACCATCGATAGTAGATAAATTGGACCCATATAATATATCTGAAGATTCATTAAACACCTGGGTCAATGCTACTTATGGACAAATGCTTCAGTATCTGAATCAGTAACAAAACTTGGCAAAAGTATTAAAGAGAAAAAAACCTCCAGCTACCGAAGCTAACTGAATCGAAACAGATAGAGTACGAAAGACTGTGGCTATGAGATGCCATGTAAGAATCAACGATAACTCTGTAGTAGCCATCTTAGATTCTGGAGCAGCAGTGAACATTATTACTGACAAGTTAATGAAAAGATTGGGATTGGAATTTACCAAAGAATTGAAAACAGTAGTAGTAATGGCAAATGGAGGCAGGTCTAAAGCCAAAGAAATAGTTAAAAATGTAAGAATTACCTTACAAGATATCATTATACTGATAGACCTACAGGTGATAGAATCGAAGAATGAAACCCTATTGTTAGGGATGGATTGGTTTAATAAATCAAGTGCAACTTTAGATTTTGGTAGACAGACATTGCATATTAAGTATTATGGTAAACAGGCAACTATCAACACTATATATACCAGCATTATTTTGCCAGTACTATTCGAAGAAAATGAAGATAAATTTGACGAGGATCAATAAATCGATGAATTAGATAAAGAAGAAGAGTTGGAAACCTTTTTCTCGGACGAAATAAGTACTGAATCAGAAGATGATCTATATTATAACCCTTGGGAAGACGAATCTAGTCTGGCCATATGTCTTGCTGAATCTATAAAAGGTTTAAACCAAGATGATCAGAAAATAAGTTACAATGTTGGATTAGAAGTTACTACTAAACAACAACAAGAAGCTTGTGAATTATTAGTCAAGAACCATGACGTCTTTGCTACAGATATATCAGAAGATGAACAGACTATAGGATTGAGATGTACTAATATAGTCCAACACTATATTAATACAGGGGATGTGGTGCCAATTAAACAGAAGCCATATCGAATTCCTCTGGACGCACAAGAATTTCTACAAAAAGAGATATTGAAAATAAAGAAATTAGGTGTAATTCAAGCTGTAGAAGAACCTTGGAGATCACTGGTAGTTATAGTTCCTAAGAAAAATGGGAAAAAGAGGATTAGTATAGATTATCATAAGTTAAATGTGATAACAGAAAAGGATATTTTTTTATTTTATTTTATTTTATTTTATTTTTTTTAAATGCCATAGTTAAAAACTTTATTTATAAGTAGAAGAATACTACATTCAAAGATTTAAAACTACATTT